GAGAGAGGACAGGCTGGTCATCAGTTCGGTTACTAGAGCATTCACTGAGCTGAGACTACTGATGTAAGCTTACGCACAAGTCAAATTGAGTTCTTGCTCGTCCATATCCTTCACCTTCACAAAGTATTGTATTCGTTGACCCAATGCAAACGGTTTTTGTTCTTTAGCTCTCCTTCTCGAAGCAAAACCAAAAAAACAAACATACTCCCTCGTCTCTAGATATCTGTCATTTTCGCTCATAAGAAACAACTTTGACTAAATATATATTAAAAAATATTAATATTTATGATACATAATTAGTATCATTGATAGATATTTAAATCTAGTTTTTTAATAAATTTATTTAGAGATAGAAATGTCGCACGTATTTTCTATAAATCGAGTCAAAGTTATCGACACGCAAATCGTGGTGACTAACATTTATGGACGAAGGGGTAGCATTCAAGAAGTAGGACTTCTGCGTTCACACTGAACTTCCTTGCTCTTGCTTGTTTATTCCATATTTTCTAGAAGCATTAATTAATTCGTCGTCACTCACAAAATACTCATCTTTTCCTCTGAAATTGATTGTTTCATGGATGACCAGTTTCTTCAAGGAATGCCCGCACCCGGACGACAAGCAGCGCAAGGAGCTGAGCCGGGAGCTGGGGCTGGAGCCCCTCCAGGTCAAGTTCTGGTTCCAGAACAAGCGCACGCAAATGAAGGTGATGATCTTGACTAATCTCACTCTCTGATCTCTGCGTTTTGATCTTGAAATTTTGGGGCTGCGTTCAACTGCAAGGCAGGCGCGCGCGAGCGTCGTCGCAACTACTTCATTTAAGCCTCTGACCTAGCGTCTGGCAGGCAGCATTCATGGCCTATTACTATAACTGGACAAAGCTTGGCCACACACCCCCATGTCCTCTTCTGCATGCGCGCTGCCAAATGTGCTGCCGCAGCCCTGCCAGGCAGCAGTGGCTGGCACCAGCCATGGTCAAACCCCACCCCATGCATCATGCATGTCTTCCTCCTCCTGCTGGCTGCTGCTGCTGACGCCACGCTACTCCTACCTGGCAAGGCAGACGTTTACAGCACTGCTCACCTGACTCACCAACAGCTGCCGATTACCAAGCATTGCTATTGCACTTAGTTAATCCGTGCAGTAGTAGAGACGCTCCATCATGGACCGCGAGCTTACCGTGATCCATGGCGTGTGGATCGACTTGCAGAACCAGCACGAGCGGCAGGAGAACTCGCAGCTGAGGGCGGAGAACGAGAAGCTGCGTGCCGAGAACATGCGGTACAAGGAGGCCCTCAGCAGCGCGTCCTGCCCCAACTGCGGTGGACCTGCGGCGCTCGGCGAGATGTCCTTCGACGAGCACCACCTCCGCGTCGAGAACGCGCGGCTCCGGGAGGAGATCGACAGGATCTCCGCCATCGCCGCCAAGTACGTGGGCAAGCCCATGGTGTCCTTCCCCGTGCTGTCCAGCCCGCTCTCCGGGGCACGCCCGTCGCCGCTGGACCTCGGTGGCGGCGTGGGGGGTGCCGCCGCATATGGCGCCACTGACATGTTCGGCAGTGTCGCTGCTGGTGCGGCTGGGGACCTGCTGAGGGGCGCCGTGCAGTCGGACGCCGACAAGCCTATGATCGTGGAGCTGGCCGTCACGGCCATGGAGGAGCTGGTTCGGATGGCGCAGCTGGACGAGCCGCTGTGGAACGCGCCGGGCCTTGATGGATCTGCTGAGACGCTGAACGAGGAGGAGTACGCGCGCATGTTCCTCGGCGGGCTCGGCCTAAAGCAATACGGGTTCAAGTCGGAGGCATCGCGCGACAGCTCCGTCGTCATCATGACCCATGCCAACCTCGTCGAGATCCTCATGGACGTGGTATGTACGTGTGATCGATGTGGAAAGAGTACAATCTTTTCCTTTCATAGTTCTTTGTGATAAAACTTCAGGATATTTGATCTGATTGCTGGCTCTGAACTCCTGAATTTTAATTCAATTTCTCTATGTGCAGAATCAGTATGCGACGGTGTTCTCGAGCATTGTGTCGAGAGCCACGACGCTGGAGGTGCTATCTACTGGCGTGGCTGGGAACTACAATGGTGCATTGCAAGTGGTGCGTGTTCTGAAATTTGGGATGCATAGGTAGTTTGATGTCATCTGTTTATTGCTGAAGCTAGATGTCCCATGTTGGGCATTTTGCAGATGTCAGTTGAGTTTCAGGTGCCTTCCCCACTGGTGCCGACCAGGGAAAGCTATTTCGTGAGATACTGCAAGCAGAACGCTGATGGATCATGGGCCGTCGTCGACGTCTCGCTGGACAGTCTGCGCCCCAGCTCAGTCCTCAAGTGCCGGCGCCGGCCGTCAGGATGTCTGATCCAGGAAATGCCCAATGGCTACTCAAAGGTCTGTGGTCTGTACATGATTGATTTTTCCAGTTTTCATATATTCTCAGTAGCTGATGGTTCAGAGACTAATCGTGAGATGTGTACTGTATTTTATCTAAAAAAAAGCTGATATTTGTAGTACATTGCACTGTGTGTCAGGTGACCTGGGTGGAGCACGTCGAGGTGGACGATAGGTCGGTGCACAGCATCTACAAACTGCTGGTGAACTCTGGGCTCGCCTTCGGTGCACGCCGGTGGGTTGGAACGCTGGATCGCCAGTGCGAACGCCTTGCCAGTGTCATGGCCAGCAACATTCCAACCAGTGACATCGGTGGTAAAGCTCTATATAATCTGTACCATGCATCGCAGCACACCATATACTCTCTGTCCAATGGAATCCCCCGAAAAAGTTCATATCCTTGTGAAACAAATCATTTGCTGCAGTGATCACTAGCACGGAGGGGAGGAAGAGCATGCTGAAGCTGGCTGAGAGGATGGTGATGAGCTTCTGCGGTGGCGTGACGGCCTCAGCTGCGCACCAGTGGACAACACTGTCCGGCAGTGGTGCTGAGGACGTCCGTGTCATGACCAGGAAGAGTGTCGATGACCCTGGCAGGCCGCCGGGCATAGTCCTCAATGCTGCCACCTCTTTCTGGCTCCCCGGCCCGCCCAAGCGTGTCTTCGACTTCCTTCGTGATGAAAGCTCTCGCAGCGAGGCACGCACACACCCATACCTAACAATTTCGTTCATCATGAACACATTCGAGAACACATTCTGTGAACTGCATTTCTTTTGCTTTTTTTGCAGTGGGACATCCTCTCCAATGGCGGCGTCGTTCAAGAAATGGCTCACATCGCTAATGGCCGCGATCATGGCAACTGCGTCTCGCTTCTTCGTGTCAATGTAAGCATGATGAGTTTGGCTTTGTCATTCATCGATGCATGTGATAACGCTTGCCTTCTAACATGTTGACGGTGTTTGCTTCTGCGTCATCGTCACAGAGCACCAACTCGAACCAAAGCAACATGCTGATCCTGCAAGAGAGCTGCACTGACGCCTCAGGCTCCTATGTCATCTATGCCCCGGTGGACGTGGTGGCCATGAACGTGGTCCTCAACGGCGGCGACCCTGACTACGTGGCGCTTCTGCCCTCTGGCTTCGCCATCCTGCCCGACGGCCCATCAGGCAGCAACATGCAAGGTGATGGCGGCGTCGGCTCAGGCGGGTCGCTCCTGACGGTGGCGTTCCAGATACTGGTCGACTCCATCCCCACTGCCAAGCTCTCCCTGGGTTCGGTGGCGACGGTGAACAGCCTCATCGCCTGCACCGTGGAGCGCATCAAGGCGGCGGTCTCCGGCGAGAGCAATCCCCAGCAGTAGCTTCGTTGAATAAAACAGTGTTCTTATCCTTTGCATTGAAGGTATGCATAAAACCAAATCACATTAAGGTCATAATTTGCAAGATTTCATCCTATTGTTTAGTCTGAATACTGATGAAATCTGATCATCAATGCCTTTGCAGGAGCAGCAAATTTTAGAGCTTTCATCAGTGGGAAGTCAAGAACGCACCTCAGACTCTCCTTGCCATGTGGTGCTCATAGCTTGGGTTATTTTTCCGCCTAGTTTCCCCAGAATTTCTGGGTATTATTCCAAGAAATATTTCAGTCGCCGAAGAAAATGAGTCACCACTACGCAAGGGTAGTTGGTTCGGGTATTGACTTCCTCTTCATGTTGGCCTCTCGGATGCTGCTACCTCTGAATTTAGGCTTCTTTTTCTTCTCTTGTGGAGTATAAAACCGTTATTTAGCATGTAATTTGTGCTGTTGCTGCAGTTGTTCAGTATCCTGGATTCCCCAAATAGAGATTTGTTTACCTTAGGTTTTATACTTCTGCAGTGCTTCTTATGTCTAGCTACCATTTCAGTACCAAACGTGCCTGTGTAACGTGGTTCCATACTTGCATTGTTGTTGAATGTCTTCTTTGCTATTTTGCAGCTTTAAGTTCTCAATTAATTTAGTTATAGTGATATGGCCATGGAATGCCACTCTCAGTAATTGACATGTTCGCTGGTTAGTTTCTGGACTGATAAGTTCGGCTGGTGCTGGTTTATTGCGAGAGGAAAACACTGTTGGCTGCCTGATAAGCCCTAGCTGAAACCATCAAGCGAATATTGCTGCTTTCGACCTTCTGTTTCTCGTCAGAATAAGCTATGCATGCTGAGTAAGATGGCTGCATTCCTTGGCCATGCCATTTCAATGTCTGAGATTTCGTCAACAGGTATCACATCTGAGCATGTATTTCATACAAAACAGCTCCTTAGGACGCACTTACAAAGTCAGAGATGTACATTTATGACACTACTACGATCCTCATCTCAGAAGATGCAATATCATTCATTCCATAACTCGAGTGCATCTGCGTGCCTCTGAAATAGTCAACCATGTGAAGTACAAGACTCTTACAGGCATTCTGCTAGAGAAACAAAATTGGATGTTCAGACCAGCTCTTTTTCTTGAAAAGGAACTTGGATCTTCAGCATGCTATGATCACAAAATAAGGTCGCTATGTATGCACATGGCATTGCCAGAGAAATCATGCCTGAACCGATGCACTCGTGAAGATATTTTCTTCATTCTGTTGGGATGAGGTCGGTAAATGAAAAATCATGAAACGGTGGACCTGCAATACATGTTGAGTTCAGGTGTAACTTTGGCATTTTCTCTATAAGATAATAATATTAAGAAAAGCATACCATGAAAATATTTTACATAAGCAAACAGAAAATTTGTTTAGACAGTGTCTTCCCTTGATGCTATGACACTTTAGTTTTAGTACCTCAGTTAAATGCACAAGTTTCATATCTCTTAAAGAACATGAAAGGATGCTTATTCTACATTTATCCAAAGAAGTGCTTGCATAATTTTTACCTTTTTGTTCAGCTAAAAGGTAAAATGGAACGTGAGCTACCATCTTTGTTCCTCCTTCACTCCAATTCACAATACCAGGACCATTTCCTTGGGCGGTGGACGGTCCCAATACAGATAAACAGATGGCTGGTTCATTCATGAGCCCTAAATAGTCACAGGCCTGTTGGCAGACTCTCCTGTCTGAGGTTGGGGAACGAGCGACCTGCAGGAATGAAGCAATTAAGATGCTCTGCGATGGGTGCACTGATCATTATCTTACACAGCGAGGATCAAGAATCAGTACCTTACCCAATGACACGCGTGCTCTCGGAAGCAACTCACTATGGCATGTTGCTAGTTTTGCAATGGCAGTCACCACAAAGCAGAGAAGCCTGGCTTGGGATGACTTTCTAGATGATGCACCCATGGAATCAGATCCTGGCTCCTGGTTTAATACCACACGGCTTGACAACAAATATATGAAAGAAGTCAATTATGTGTAATGCAATGGAAATCCAGACAGAAGACATAGTAGACTAGGGCCTCACCTAGTTGCCAGGTTTTCATACAATAATAATTCCAAATTTTCAAACAGCTCACGAGCAACATCTTTGCGATCTATCCCTCCAGCTCCATGCTCACCAATGGCCCAGCACAAGTGCAATGCTAACTCTGTCTGCACTGGCCACAGTCCATCAGTAACTTTCAGTTGCAATGAGAAAGATAATTAGCCATTTAAGATAATCAGCAGAAGGATAAGAAGAGCGGCGATGATATAGCAATTTCAGTGGCAATATGAACTCGAAAAATAGGAGTACGAACTTGAAAGATATACTTGCCTCAGCAGGATTATCATGAGCTTCACCAAGTCTGTCAGTAATAGGTTTCTGCAAAATGGTTCAAAATGATCATGCAGAATTATTTATAAAATCTGATATATAAAGGAAACTTTCAAAGAACTTTTTCCTTGTCGCTGCAAAGTGCTACATGACAATGACATGGGCTTTTAGTTCAGAGTTTTGAAATAAATCACTAAATATTTACACACATTACCTTCAGTACTGCAATGATGTTAGGAGACCGCTGGAATGCAGCCAAAATGAAGTCTGAAAGCCTTTTCCTCACCTGCAACAATATATAATATCATGAAACCTATAATATGCCATTGGAAGCTGAACTTACACAGGATATGTTAGGCAAATAACCAAGTCTATAGCCAGACAAGCCATATGGCATACCATCATTTGAGGTAAAGGTACTATGGTAAAAATTTAAGTTTGCCCTTCTTTCATTTTTTTTCCATTCAATGTATTCTGACATAAAGTAGTATCGCTGCTCCATCGGTTAGTTATTCAAAGCATCGTCTAGGGTGGCTTTCAGAATTATTAAGCTTAGTAAAAACTATAGCTCCAATAGTTCAACATATATGGTTGAATCCTTCAATTCAGCTTGAGAAGTTGTTTATCAATTGCTTATAAATTGTTGAACTATGCAATTAATCGGTTATGTCAGACTAAGCAAATAGAGATATAGTAATATATCCTTGGTTCCAAAACCTTTACAAGGATCAGTAGTAGACAAGGAAATTTAGAATAAATTAAGTTTGCCTACCTTGAAAGAGAAAACCTTGTCTGGGAACATCGCAGCATATCTTGACATAACTACTGGAATAAGAGCACACAACAGTGCTGAACCAACAAACATAGATCGTCAAATCAACAATATGTTGGTCACTTATCATGTGTAGAAAAATAATAATAAAAAAGATATGCAACCTACAGTCATTAACATCCCGCAATGCTGTCGCGAAATACAAAGTAAGAAAGCGAGGTGCCATTTCCAGTGACTGTTTCAATCTATCCGACTGTGGGCTGTTAAATGCTGCTTGTAATGTTGAAGATATCGTAGGGGATATCCAATGTTTTGCCTGAAGGGGAAAACAGAAGAAGATATCACTAGAACTAAGAATTCAGAGGGGATATACACTATTGTATAGGAGAAACTACTTACAGCAATGCCATCATTCTCGTCTTTTAGAAGGTCTAAGAACATTGGGTCAGCAAGGTCTAGGGGACCACTATCATCAGAGCCTGAATTACCACTAGGTTCTTCTATTGCGGAACCAGTATATGCCTCTGTCAAGGGCAGTGAGTCCAAGGGAAGGGGGACCTCGGCTACGTAGATCGTAGCCGCTGTCCGTGGTGGCCGGCCGGGTTATACCCCCTTGCCGCCGTTCCTCGTCGGTGGGTTATGCCCCCAGCCGCCGGCTTAGGTAGAAGAGAGGGAGAGAGATTAGATGGTAATTCTTCCTTCCTTGCCAAGTGTCTGGTTACAAGATATGTATAGCCTCCGGCTCAACCAAAAGGAGTAACAAAGTCCACTAATTAAGGACTAACCAAAATAGCTAATAGATCTCCTACTTTCCCTCCTAGCCACTGCTGGAGGACGCCCCCTGGGTGCTGGCCGCGCGCACAGCAGCGCGTTCCTGGGCCCTGCGCACATCTCGGGCCCTATGGCGCCTAGTGTAGACTTGTTTGAACATGACATCTCCCTCCCCGTCGAGAGCCAGCTCGTCCTCGAGCTGGAATTGGGGAAACTTGGAGCGGAGTGTGGCGACGTCTTCCCAGGTGGCCGACGCGGCTGAAGCTCCCTTCCACTGAACCAGTGCTTGATGCACACCCCGGGCCAGCCTGTACCGCACCGCGCGCTCCGGCTCAGGATCAATGGCACCATGGTGAAGTAGCGGCAGCTGTGGAGGCTCGGTCGGCGGTGTCCCTTGGTACTTCTTGAGCAGCCCCACATGGAACACGTTGTGGATGCGGGCGCGAGGGGGTAGTTCCAGCCGGACAGCAACCTCGTTGATGAGTTCGACGACGCGGTATGGGCCGAAGAAGCGCGGCTTCAGCTTGCCGCCCACAGCTTGAGGTAGAGACGACGCTTACGCGCCGACGGAGTCGGCGGCCACCACCCACGATAGGTGACCTCTCGGTGTGCGCGGTCGTAGAAGCGCTTCTGGTATGCCTGTGCCTGCTCCAGGCGATAGCGGATGTCCGCTAGGAACGTCGCACGCTCCTCCATTGTCTTGGCGACGGCCGGCACCCTGGTGTCCCCAGGTTCATAGGAGCGGATGGAGGGAGGATCACGCCCGTAGACAATGCGGAAGGGAGTGTCCCGCAAAGACGTCTGGTACGCCGTGTTGAAGAGGTACTCTGCCCATGGCAGCCACCGAAGCCATTCGCGCGGCCTGTCCCCCACTAAGCACCGGAGGTACATGATGATGACGCGGTTGGCCGACTCGGATCGCCCCGTCGGATTTGGGGTGAAACGCCGAGGTCATCGTAGCTTGGTGCCCATCAACCGCATCAGCTCCTCGCCGTAACGACGACGTGAACACCGTGTCCGGCCGGAGACCATGGACCGAGGGACACCATGGAGCCTGACGATGTCGTTGAAGAAGGCTCGGGCGACGGATTCGCAGAGAGTACGGGTGTGCCAATGGGATGAAATGGCAGTACTTGCTGAACCTATCCACCACGGTGAGGATTACCGACTTGCCGCGGACTCGTGGCAGCGCCTCCACAAAGTCGAGCGCGACATCAGTCCACACACCCTGGGGAACCGGCAGAGGAAGGAGGAGGCCGCGCAGTCTTTGGTGCGAGACTTGTAAGCGTTGATGACTTCACATGTACGCACCCGGTCCTGCACAACTTGCTTCATGTTAGGAAAATGGAAATCGCGGCGCAGCCTGTGGAGTGTCCGCTGTACGCCTTCATGGCCGTCCTCATGTATGGCCCCCACGATCTCCTGGAGCAGCGGGGAGTCAGCCGGGATGTACAGCCGCCCCGCAAACTGCACCATGCCGTCCACCAGCGCCCAGGGGGCTGGTCTGGTGCCTGCTGCTAGCTCATCCTGGAGAGCAACAAGTGCCGGGTGTTCCAGCTGAGCTTGCCGGAGCTTGGTGATGAAATCGAAGCGCGGAGAGGAGAGGGCCAGCAGCTCGCCCTCCACTGTGTCGCGCCTGGACAGCGCGTCGGCGACCGCGTTCGTTGCACCCGGCTTGTATTCGACGGAGAAGTCGAATCCCAGCAGCTTGCCAACCCAATGGTGTTGCGGAATGGTGGCCAAGCGCTGGTCCAGGAGGTATTTCAAGCTGTAGTGATCTGTCCGAACGGTGAAGCGGCGCCCCCAGAGGTATGGACGCCAGTGACGCACCGCCTGGACCAAGCCAATGAGCTCACGCTCATATGCTGCCAGGGCGTGATGTCGAGGTGCGACCTGCCGGCTGAAGAAGGCGATGGGGTGTCCCTCCTGGATGAGGACAGCACCAAACCCGTGGGACGATGCGTCGCACTCGACGACGAAGGTCTTGGTGAAATCCGGCATAGCGAGCACCGGTGCCGAGGTGACTGCCTCCTTCAGGGTGAGGAAAGCCGAAGTAGCCTCAGGACCCCAGGTGAAGCCCTCCTTCTTGAGGAGCGCGGTGAGCGGCGCGGCGATGGAGCCGTAGTTGTGGATGAACTTGCGGTAGTAGCCTGCAAGCCCAAGGAAGCCGCGCACCGCCCGTGCGGAGCGAGGTACCGGCCAATCGTGAATGGCCTGTACCTTGGAGGAGTCCATGGCCACCCCTGCCGCCGAGATCGTGTGGCCGAGGTAAGCGACAGAGGCGACCCCGAAGGCACACTTGGAGCGTTTGACGAAGAGGGTGTCTTGTGGCTCTCACGAGGACGGCGCGGAGGTGTCGTAGGTGGTCGGCCCAGGACTTGCTGTAGATCAAAATGTCATCAAAGAAAACAAGGACAAACCGGCGGAGGAATGGCCTCAAGACGTCGTTCATGAGGGCCTGAAATGTTGCCGGGGCATTGCAGAGGCCGAACGGCATCACCAGGAACTCATATAGGCCGTCGTGTGTGCGGAACGCCGTCTTGTGTACGTCCTCCGGCCTCATGCGCACTTGGTGGTACCCCGAGCGCAAGTCGAGCTTGGTGAAGTACTTGGCGCCATGGAGCTCATCCAAGAGCTCGTCGACGACGGGGATAGGGAACGCGTCCTTCACCGTGACCGCGTTGAGTGCGCGGTAGTCGACGCAGAATCGCCAGGACTTGTCCGGCTTCTTGACGAGGAGGACCGGCGAGGAGAAAGCGGAGTCGCTGCGCCGGACGATGCCGTTCGCGATCATGGTCGCGCACTGCTGCTCCAGCTCCGTCTTGTGGGCGGCCGGATACCAGAGGGTCAGCGATCGCCACCGGCTCGGTGCGGGCTTGAGGAGGATGCGGTGTCGCGCGCCACGATCGGAGAGAGCCCCCGCGGCTCGCATGAACACGCCGGCGAACGCGGCAAGCAGCTCCTCCAGGAGGGGCTCGGCCACCGAAGTAGAGTGGAGGCGCGGTGGTGTTGGCGGAGCGACGCTGCGCCAGCAGACCTGCTGGTCTGCCATCTTGAACGCCATGGTCCCGCACCATATTCCGCATAATATCGCTTAAAGTCGCCCACCACCGGGTGCCCAAAGACTAAGTCATATCCGGCCGGGGCATGATGTACAAGTCGATCATGAACGGCGGTTGTCGATGACAACGGGCGCGGGCGCAGTAACGCCCGGACAGAGATGCGTTCGCCATTGGCCACGTCGCCGTGAGCCGAGGCCGAGGCTCGACGGCAGCGGCCGCGCGCGCTGGCGCGCCGGCCGATGAAGCGATGGGTGGAGCCGTGTCGATAAGCGGCGGCAGGGTGGCGCGCCCACCTGCACCTCAAGCTGGAGGGTGCCGCACACAGGGACGCCCGCGACGGCGTGTAGAGAGTAGACCGGCGCCTCCTCCTCGGGTATCTCCTCATCCAAAGACGACCCGTCGATGTAGAAAATGCGGCGGCATACTGCTGTGGTGGCGGGAGAGTAGGGCTCATTGCGGTTGTAGCAGAGCCGAGTTTTTGCGCCTGCTCGCTGCTCCTCCATGGAGAGGCGCTTGCCCCTCACCCTTGGTGGTGGCGCCGGTAGGGGCTGGGGTGCGCTCGGGAGCCGGCGTGCGTCCGAGCGCCGGGTCGGGTGACGGGCGCCGGCAGGCCGCCAGACGCCTGGGCGCGGTGCAAAGCGGTGGACCAGCGTAGCAATGCATCTTGACGTGGGTGGAGTTGAGGCGGTCCAGTTCGACGAGTTCCAGGCCCGCGCCAAACTCATGGCCGCCGCCGGTGTTTGGGCGCGTGGATGCGCGCTCTGGTGGTCGAGCGGTGGCGATAACCCGCCGGTGTAAGTCTGCACTACCGGCCCTCCTCGAGGCGGCCGCGCGAGGGAGGAGCGCTGAAGCGGTTGAGTACTCCTCGACCCGACCAGGCGGCGGCTTTTCGGAGAGCTCGAAGCAATGAGGCGGACCGCAAAGACCGGGCCAAAGCGAAGGTTCAGGAGCTCCTTGAAGCGCCCCCATGGCGGTGTGCCCTCATCCTCCCCGGAGTTGGATGAACCACGGTTGGGCCACGCCCTCCAGTTATCTGACGCCATCCACACCTTCTCCTCCGGCAAGCATGGTGCGTTGTCGGCGAAATATCGACTCACACCGATTAATAAAATCGGTGGGTCGGATTTACCGTCGGCTGGAAATCCATCTTCCGGAACCGCTGGGGCGATCCGTGTGATCTTTGGCCGTCGTGGTGGGTGTTGACCGGACGTCGAGTGAGCTTCTCTCGCATGCCCGCCATGTCGGATTGCATCCGGGACATGTTGGTGGTCGTGGTCTGGAGCATCTTCATCATGTCACCATGGTGGGCGGATCGGCCACCCATGTTTGGCGGCGCCGACGTGGCTGTGGACGGAGATGAAGGGGATGGTGGTGGTGGCTGGGAAGGGTGGGAGGCGGCCGTGGAGGACCGGGAGTGGTGGGAAGAAGAGGATCGTCGGCCTCGGGATACCAAGTTGTCAAGGGCGTGAGCCCAAGGGAAGGGGGACCGGCCACGAGATCGTAGCCGGCCGTCCGTGGTGGCCGGCCGGGTTATACCCCCTTGCCGCCGTTCCTCGTCGGTGGGTTATGCCCCTGGCCAAATGACTTAGGTAGAAGAGAGGAGAGAGATTAGATGGTAATTCTTCCTTCCTTGCCAAGTGTCCGGTTACAAGATATGTATAGCCTCCGGCTCAACCAAAAGGAGTAACAAAGTCCACTAATTAAGGACTAACCAAAATAGCTAATAGATCTCCTACTTTTCCTCCTAGCCCTTTGCTAGAGGGCGCCCTGGTGGTGTTGGCAGCGCAGCAATGCAAGAGCGTTCTGGGCCCTGCGCACATCTCGGGCCCTATGGCGCCTAGTGTAGACTTGTTTGAACATGACAGCCTCGTCCATCAGTGCAAGAAGCATCTGTACCATAGAAAAGGATAATGCTCTTAACAGTTTTGGACTAGATAATTCACTCATAGCTTCTAGGCCAATTCATTCTGAAGATTACCTCAGGAGCAGCGCTCTTCTGGATTGTAGCTATACTACTGCCAATAAGAGTTCCAGAACTTCTTTCCACCTTTTCCAGTGCCACCACCAACACTGGGTAAAATTCAGAGTGATGAGGAACAAAGTTGTTGAAATCAATACATTATAGTTGAACAAAAACCAATAATGCATGGTTGAATGTTAAATACATTAAGACAAAAGACACTTATCTAAATCAAGCCATAAAATCTGGTAGTCTCCAATAAATATCAATCACAACTGATTCATATTATGTGCAGTATTGGAACTCAAAATGAAGAGTTCTTTACCAAAAGAATCTGAATAGTGTGCCAACTGTATACTCCATGTTAGTTTAAAAAAAAAACTGTATACTCCATGTTCACAAATAAAAAGTGAGTAACTGTATACAGGATAAACAATCAAGGCCAGCAGGGACCAGGTCATGTATGTATGCTATACATTACAGAAATCTCACATATTGTAAGAATGTAAGGAATGCACATCACATGAAAGCAGAAACAATAATTTAATAATGCCATAGTGCACCTAACTCATCAGCTAATTAGCAGTCAAAATTGTTTGGGTTATATAAAAATCCTGAAGGAGAAATATCAACAGGCTTACTTGGCAAATCCATAAGGAATAGGAACAGAGGAAGAAAAGATCCTGCTGACATCATTAACGGAAGTACTTCCGCAAACTTATTCTCCAGTCTAGAATGTTAGCAAACAAATTAGGTAGTTCAACAGGATTGCTATTGAATATTTATGCTACCAGTACCAAGTCATTTAAAGGAAACATAGATGACAGATATAGGCTAAGTTCATGACAATAAGAGCACATACCTCTCACCATTTGATGCAATAAGCTTTAACAACAATGGATAAAACTGTGTATAAACAAGAATACACAAGCATTGGCATGTGCTAACATGATTAAGTCGAATTTGGAAAATAGGAAGAGAAGAGAGAAATATTCTATAAAGAATCTTACAATAGTTGGTTGAGTAGCTTATCATAGAAATATGGTTTTTTTCTGTTTTTTCTCTACCATTTGGCTTACGGCCTCCTGTATTGTAATTATTTCTTATGTTAATGAAGAAATACATGTAGGGGCCTCCCCCGCCATTCTCATAAAAGATTAATACATATGCTATAAAACAAACAATGAAGCTGGATTTATATCTTTCAAAGCAGTGGTCTGCAACAACATGAATAATAGGAGCTACATGTGGAATTTGCCAGTTCCAAGTAAGTAAACATTTGAAGTGTTGGCACCTGTGGAATCAAATTGGGAAAGGAGCTAAGGATCTTTGTCTTGTTTGTTACAAGGAATTCAACCGTGCGCTCTGCAACAATAGGATCTGCAAACTCCCTATTTACAAGAAAAAAAGTTGAGTATCTTAGATGCTTGTGGTAGCAATCCAACGATGGTATACAGATCAAGAGAAAAACATAGAAAACAACATTACCTGCTTAAGCAAGAGCGGAAGAAGGTTTTCAAGCTACCATCAGCATCGTGCAAGACCGCCTCCCCAAAATCCAGGAAGAATTTGCAGGATGGTCTGGTACGAAAAAATACAGAACACTAAATTAGTTATGAGTTTGGCAAACTCTTTACAACGAATCAACAATAAGTAATTTGCCACCAACAGCTATGCAAGTAATCCATTGTTTGGTGAATCAGGGAGTAAGGACATTATAATCATTCAGTTAACACTAGATTAAAGTCTCTCACCCAAAGACTAGACATACGGGCTTCGAGTGTGAAATTTTGATAAAACTGAAAATGGAGAAGCACACTTTACGCTAAAGGACACTATTGTCGGATATCCGAGCCTTTATATCCATCAAAACGTTAAGGATAACATCTCTGCAGCGCGAGACTGAGAAAAAGTCGGCTTACTAGAAGCAGCACGCCGGTGGAGGCCACGGCCTGCGTCGGAGCGGTGGCGCATCGCTGAAATAGCTTGCCCATCACCGGGAACGCCCGCGCCACCATCTCGTCCTTCGCCTCCTTCGCCGTCCGGCACATCTCGCACACCCTTCTCACCTTCGCGCGGACAGAAAATGGTGCACGAAACAACACACCTAAGAATCCTCGTCTACATCCAAGAAACCGGACATAGGGGACAAGGGATCGAAGGGAGATGCGGTTACAGATTGGAGGAGGTTGGGGTCGGAGGCGGGGTCGGCGGCCGCAGCGGAGTCCCGTGAGGCCGCGGAGAGCGAGCGGAGGTGGAAGTCGTAGATGCCGTCGCCGGCGGCGAGCCCCGGCGAAGCCATGGCCGTCGCCGTCGTGTTGTGTCTTGTCGTTGGGGTTAGAGAAGAAGGCCTCCTTTCTCTGTGGACGGCCTATTAGGTGCGTCCGGCCCATGTACTAGACTTTTTTTTTTCTTTTAACAAGCCTTTTTTGTTCCCGTCTCGCACACCCTCACCTCCACGCGCGTAGACAATAATGGCGCACGAAACAACAAACCTAAGAATGCTCGTGTACATCGGGAGATGTGTAGAAGGGATGGAAGGGAGATGCGGTTACGGATTTGAGGAAGTTGGGTTCGGCGGCTGCAGGCTGCAGCAGAGTCCCGTGAGGCCGCAGAGAGCGAGCGGAGGAGGGAACCGAAGCTGCCATCGCCGGCGAAGAGCTCCTGCGAAGCCTTGGCCAACAAGACGACTTGGCGGTTTGGGTTTGAGAAGAGGGCCTCCTTTCTCCGTGGACGGCTGATTAGGTGCGTGCGCTGCTCCTTTTTTTTTCACTATTTGTCTTTTTGTTATCGTGGGAAGACCCTTTTATTTTCATTTATATGCACTTAATAAAGTTTCTAAAACAGTTGACAAAATATTTTGTTCGAAATTTTGTCAAAACTAACCCAGCAATTTTAATAGATATCCGACATGTGTAATTTGCTTGGATGATTTATTTCACCTGATGGTTAATTTTTAAAATGTACTGCACGAGACAACATCGTTAAAACAGGTTTTTGCCTTCTTTTTGCCAAAATCATCACAAGGTACATAAACAGTGATCTTTCCATTTTCAGAACGATTGCCAAAATACACTCGGCAACACATCAGTGCACAACCATAAGTATTACTCCATCCGTCCCCAAATAAATCAATTCATAGAATCCGTGCCAATCAAACTTTTTTAAGTTTGACTAACTTTATAGAAAAAAAATAACATCTATAAAATAAAATGAACACCTTATGAAAATATATTTTATGATAAATCTAATGATACTAATTTGCCATAAATCTTAACGTTTTCTCTAGAAATTTGGTCAAATTTTAAAAAGTTTGACTTAAGACAACTCTAGAAATCTATTTATTCATGGCAGAGGGATTATTAAAAATAACCCAGCTAATAACATAGAGGTCTCAAGCGGCAGTAGATCGTTAGACGCTTAGATTAGACCCCTTCCCTCTACAGCATGCTCTGAGTTTTTGAGGATGGCGGATGGCCACAAGTACAACAATGCCCTCACTGAGTTTGTCTGAAGCTTCAACTTAGCTTCGTCCTGCCATCCTTGCGTTGGCAAGAACCTGACGAATGCTGCAAACCTTGCTCAACATCAAACCAAATGATGCAGTAGCGATTGATTCTGAATCAAACCAAATGATGTACAGTAGCGATTGATTCTGAAGATAACTGTAATCTTGGCAAGATTTGGGACATAATTCCTGCAAAAAAGATCAGCAAGGAAAAAAAAGCTTGATCAATATTTCTCCCCAGAAAAAAATACGGCATTTATAATGTCTACAGACATCACGAAAGGGCCTGAGAAAAAGTGTAACACCCACCTCATATGCAAGTTAGGATGAGTGCTTACAAGTGTGAGCACCATCGATTTCATGCAGCTATTCTATTGAACTAGATGAGTGCATTGTGAAGGAGCACTTGGTTCACAGCTGCTTAAGACGGCACTGGCCGGACCTGCCAATCAACAGGCAGATCATAGAACGAGTAGGACCCAAGTAGGAATATCTGAAGTTGCTCTGGTGAATAGAGTAGTAGTTTCATGTTGACTGCTGAAGTGCCAGAAATCTCCTTGAATCAACCAAATCTTTGTGCCAACACTGCTGCCATCCATGCTTGATCTAGAAAACTATAAGAACATTAGGAAAATTTTCACCTTGGTTGTCTATATTATATTATTATTTGTAACTGAATTTCGAAGATTGGCAATAATGAAGCTCTTACTGTTGTAACTAGCAACAGTCAGGCAAGCTTGCACTTGCGTAGTTTAGCAGCATACAGCGCAATGAATCGCGATTAGTCGTCCTTATCGTAACCAGGTGCTCGATAAGGGCCCTCGATTAGTTTAGACCGATTAAAAAACTTATCGTCCGATAAGTTGCGACTAATCACGATTAATCGTCCGATCAGACTAGCCGGACGACTAGTTCGGGGGAGGGAGAATTTGGCCCAGCTAAAGAATTCGACCCACCTTTAGCTGGCCCATTAAGGTAAGAAGAAGAGGAGTGAGTGAGTGACCTAGTGGGAGTTGCAGCCGCACGGCACATTTCCAGCTCCCGCTGCTCTCTGCCTCACTCGCAGCTGCCGGCGGCCTGCCTCTAGATCTCCCTCGCCAGCGTCCGCAGCTCCGTCCGCGCCCCTCACCGGTGTCCGCAGCTCCGCCCGCAGCTCCATCCGCGCCTCCACCTCCGCTCACTCCTGTCTCCTCCCCTGCCGGGACCCAGTAGCTCCGCCCGCCTCTGAGGCTCCTTCCTCGACGCCTGGAGGACGAACACGGGAGGCCTCAAGCATCAAGATGAGCCACCAGTCCCACCACTCTGACTCCTCTGCATCAAGACCGATTAGGACCGACTAATCGACCCTTATCGACGACTAATTAGTCGTCTGATCGGTGGTCATACAACTAGCCTCAATAATACGATCTGAAAACATTGATACAGCGTATGGTTTATCATAAAAAGAAATTGCACTCCTGTGACATGGAAAGCTTAACATGTAAAAACACAATTCACAGTACAAATAAGAATGACTAATGTTATCTGATTTTCAATAATGCTACCTTAGGTGTCTGAGAATGGCTATCTTAAAAAATATATATTCTTATTTTTTTCTTTGATCAATCGTCCCAGAAGAAAGAAAGCAACAGAGTTGCAAAGGAAATTTCAATTACATTTTCAAAAGGTCAAACAAAGTGTAAGGAATTAGGCTTTCTTATAACTTAATAATCAGATTTTAAATTACTTGTGCACCTGTCAGTTCAAAATTTTATTTATTGATAGCCCAATTAACGGAGTACAAGTTCAAATCATGTGCAAGATCAGAGGCACAATCAAATGTTTGGTACATCCTTGTGGTGTGCAAATATGACATATCTCCTTTATAATATAAAAAACCATGTATTTCATTTATTTCACTAAGATAGCCAGATTTACTAAGGAAAAAAATTACACACAAGTACAAAATACTGAAGTGATGCATGCTATTATCATGGACAGTTCAGAGTATTGAGTTGCATACACCGATCAGTTCAACCCAAAAGCTTAAGCTGATGGGGAGAGGTGGGCAATTCACTTATATTCCAACACTCCCCCTCACGTGGAGGCTCCCTTAGGCCTCAGACATGGAATAGGAGCGAGCAGCAATTATTTTATTTTAATTGCGCTAACCAGGATTCGAACTCGAGACCTCTAGTTTTGATACTATATTGAGTTGCATGCACCGACCAGTTCAACCCAAAAGCTTAAGCTGATGGGGAGAGGTGGGCAATTTACTTATATTCCAACACAGAGCAGCTCAGCACTGACTGATATCTGCATCATTTGAGATGGCCTGACATGAAAACATTTATAATTTGATTGTGTCTCAACATCTGGAACTGGAACTGATCTAACATGATCTGAGAATGTCAAACACTGCACATTCTTGCCAGTACCTTACTCATTATAACTAGTGGCAGATATATCAATAAAAGAGGTAAGTTTTCACCACTTCATCAAAGTAGACATTTCAGAGTAATCTATAAAAAAAGAAGGAACTAAAGTAAAATTTAGTATACTCAAGTGAGTTACCAGATTCGTTTTTTTTTCATATGAAGGCCCCACAAGCTGAACTTATAGAAAGCGTACACTAGTTCCACAAGCTGCAGTTTGAGGTGGTTTTATTTTACTACAGGTAAATGCAGTGATAGCACGGCAGTAGGAACTCGGCTGCTGGTCAGGGTTTGTGCCCTGGCTTCCACAAAAAAGAAGCCCATCGCTGTGTAACTGTCTTCAGAGATACACGTGTTGCTGCGGCAGAAGGAAGAACCTTTGGCTTTTTCCATAAGATCAGTTCATTAAAACGGATGGAAGAACAATGATGGATGGAAGAACAATGATAAGTTCAACATCTTTCAGACAGTGCTCTTAAAATTTTACTTTGAAAATAAATATTTTCTATGTTGCATCTTTTCTAAAGCCTCAAACATGGGCACTCAACAATCTTAATTCTAAATATCCAAAATTGTTCCAACATCACTTTCTTTTTCGGGAAAATTAAAAAGTAGCAAATATAGTATAATTACCTTTGGCAAAGGATTTTCTAACAGCAAGAAGACATATTCAACTCCCTAGTGTGCAATGTGTTTTCTGAAAGATTCAACAAGGCTAGAAGGATGTACAGCTCAAAGACTTGATGATCCCTTGTGTGCTGCAGATTAAAATAAGCAGCGTTCATATCAAGGGGCACTTGTGGAACATGATATATATAAAACTGAATTAATGTTCACATGATTAGGAAATCAAAGACCAACTACCTTTCACTAGTATAACCTGATCTCAGAGTTGTTCTGTTATTACTAGTTAGGAGGTTCCAATGGAGATGATCTACATAAAGTAATGGCAGAATGAAGTATTTGAAGTTTGCACCTGTCACTATGTAATCAAAATAGGAAACCTGCAGATACTGAGAATACATGCGGGCATAAAGTTCATCAAACTGCAATAGTTACACTAAGTTGGAATACAATAAAGCAGACGGTAGATTATTGTGTCAGTAGAACAAATCAGTCCAGCATCGTGCAACAAAATTAGGAACATCAAAGTTCAGGGCTAATAATATACTCTCAGAGTTAAAAAAAAAAGGATGCAAAAGGCAGGTAGTCTAAACAAAGTTGTATAGTCTGAGAGGTACTATTCTTGCAAACTAGCAAAACGCATGCTTGTGCAGAACAAGTAAATAAATTGAGAATGAATATACTGTGGATGTAACTTATTTCTGTAGCAGTGCCCCCAAGCCAACTTGAAATTAGTTGGAGCATGTTTTGTAAGCT